ATTACTTTTTCTTTTAAAAACCTCTGCTTGCAGACTGTGTGTATGGGGGAAGGAAAAAATATGAACTGCATTGAAATAGTTTTCAAAGTTTTTTTTTTTTTTTTTTTTTTTTTTTTTACCCCCTCCTCTCTGAGAGCGATGCTGTCAAAGGAAAGTTTTTTTTTTATTCTTTTCATCTTTTTGTTGGAATTTCTAAGGGTTTTGTGTCGCGTATTGTGTCCCCAGAAGATAATGTTATTTTCTGCATTGTCCAGTTATATCTGTATAGGAGTTTTATCGATGTTGATGTGGGTTTGGACTTCTGTTCGAAATATTTGGCTTTTTATTGAGATATCAGTGTGGTCATAGCGAAATATAAATGATCTCACTGATTGATTTCGTGTTCATTATGAAATTAACTGGCTTTTTAATATTTTAAATAGCATTTTTTTTAAAATGTAAATGAGTAATAACATCAAAATGATATAAGTCAAGACTTTGAGACAAAATGCGTATATATTTGGTGAAATAGTCAATTAATTTTAAATTTTTATTTTTATCACACTTTTCAAACAATTATTTTTAACTAATTTTATTCAGATTCAATGAAAAATAAAGTGTGACAAAATAAATGATGGTATAATCAATGTTAGAATCAATTCCTGAACTAAAAAAAATGTAAATAAGCCATAACATAAAAATGATAAAACTACACTAATTCAAAACTTTGTTTGAGACAAAATTCGTACATTTTTGTCAGTTAATAACAGTTAATTAATTTTAAGTTTTTGTAATTATCAACACTATTCAAACAACTGTGAACGAAATGATTGTATTCAGATTCAATGAAAAATAAGGTGTGGCAAAATAAGCGATGGCATAATCAATTCAAGAATTTTTTCAAAAAAAAAAAAATGTAAATAAGCAATAACATAAAAATTTTATAACTACACTAATTCAAAACTTTGTTTGAGACAGTATTCGTATATTTTTGTTGACACAGTCAATTAATTTTAAGTTTTTGTAATTATCCACACTATTCAACAAACTATTTGTAACTGATTTTATTCTGATTACGAAAAATAAGGTGACAAAATAAACGATGCTATAATTTGAAGAATGTTTTTCAAAAAAATGTCAATAAGCAATAACATAAAAATTTTATAACTACAATAATTCAAAACTTTGTTTGAGACAGTATTCGTATATTTTTGTTGAAACAGCCAATTAATTTTAAGTTTTGTAATTATCAACACTATTCAAACAACTGTTTTTAAATAATTTTATTAAGATTGAAGGAAAAATAAGGTGTGACAATATAAATGATGGTATAATCAATGATATATCGTTGATGGGCAATTAAACATGTTACAAAAAGCACAAAAAAGATTTTTTTTTTTTTTAATTTTTCAAATAAAGTCGCTCGTTTCGTTTAAATAAACCATTCATTCTCTATAGATTTCAAACTTTTAGCGAATATTTCATGCATTCTAAACCATTAGTTAAATCAAAGAGCCACATCTCGGTATACTTATTTATTTTTGAAGTAATTTTAATTGCATTCAACAACTTTAGTTAAACTATTCGTTCATTAACAAAAAATTTAATACATTCGAAATATTCGTTTAAACTGAAATGATGCGAAGGAAAAATGTCTTAAAATTGAAATTAGTAATTAACTGAGCATAAACTTTGAGGAAATTTACGATTCATTTGAAGTGAAAGAAACTTAATTTTCAATTAATCGAAGTTCTTTTAAATCTGCGCTAGTTTCGTCAAAGAATGATTGCTGTTATACAGCATTTTCCTTTTTCTAGTCTATATGTTGCATACATCTTAGTAAATTCGTCATTTAATTTAAATAATATTAACAAAGTGTTATTATATGATATAAATTTATCAAGTATTGAATAAAGATTTTGATATATTTAAAGTGTAATGAATTTGTGTTAAAACTGAAAATATTTATTTGGAAGTCTTGAAAATTTAATTTGCTGTACCGCATAAAATTCTTTAAAATAATATAGGATTCTTCATTTTTTTATTGATGCATATTTTTAATTAAAATTTATTTTTCGACGAATCATTTTTAATTATAAATTATTGACATGAAGTTCATTCGTAGTATAGGAGAATCAACATATAATTGATTTAAAATAATAACATGAGAAAATCACAAAAACTCATTCGTGAATTGCAAAGAGCTATTAAATATTTTAATTATATTTAGAGTAAATCTAATAATTTAACGCATATAGATATGTGGAAAATTGTTATTATTAATATTTTTAGAAGAAAATATTAACATATTACAATTACAATATATCTCAATACTTAAAATGTTTTGTTCAAAATAATAGAAAATGAATCACCATAATATATACAACTGTATTCATTCTGATGATCCAGATGAAAAATTTTATTATGTTAACAAAAATAAATTCACGACCAATTTAAGAATGTAGCACATTTAAAACAAATAAATTCTTCAATAACGTTTCTCCTTCCAGGCAGATTAATTATGCATGCAAAGTTTTCTTTTAAGACATAAGAATATCTACGTATTAAATTTTATTCATAGAGAAGATAATAAAAGTAACATTCTCGAACAATACTTAATATTTTAATGTGATTATTAAAAAATATCAATTAATTTATTTCAGGTACCTTCCTCATATAGTTTTGCAGTTTTTTTTTTTGATAATTCGAACAGATATAACAGTATAAATTTACTACTGTGTCCAAAATTTAAGACCAATTTTCAATTTAAAATTCCCGGGGCTTATGAAATTTCAATTTTTTTTCTTTTTTAGGTTGCTGGTTAATTATGGGACATCCTTGACATCTTAACGTCAAAATATTCATTAATGCTTGAGTTACGCTTAGCTTTGTCTGAGGCTAAAAGTGATCTCGGCGATTTTTGAAATGTCTGAGTTAATTGAGCAAAGAACTTGCATTAAATTTTGTTTGCGGAAAATTATAGAATATTGTAGAAGGCATTCGGTGAGCAAACTATATCGAAAAAAATGTTTACAAGTGGTATAAACAGTTCAAAGAAGGCAGAGAGCGCGTTGAAAACAAAGAGTGCTCTGGACGACCATCAACCTCAACCTACTAAAGGTAAAAAAAATTCCCTGAATAAAATTAATAAGAAAATAATAATTAAGCTATTAATTTTCTCAAATATTGAAAAAACATAATACATAGGTTAATTAACTAAGTTGACAAAATAATATGTTATGTAACATGAAAACAATTTTAAATTTATTAAAAAAAAAAAGATTGCAGTCAATTATATTTTTTATTTTTTTTAAACAAATGCTTTTGGAACTTCTATAAAAAATTATTTTATTTACTACAAGATTAAATCAAGTGACAAATTTATGATTAAATTTATTATTTTAATCGTAAATATGAAAAAAAAAAAAAAAACCTTTACATAAAGAATTTTAAATAATTTACACAACTGAAATATAATGAAAATCAAAATATTCCTATTCCGACATAAAAAAAAAATTACAATCACAAAATACATTTTCATTTTCGCTGATGCTAAAGAGGATTTAATATGTTTTTAATATCCTTAAGGCCTTATACATCATTTTAGAATATTTTTGTTATTTTTAATTTGAAAAGCTTGTACTTTGTCATATAGGTGCAAAAATAAAAGAGAGAATAAATTATGAAATTAACAAAACCAAATTATACCACCAACTTCTTTTGCTGTCATTTTCTTTTATTAAAAAAAATAAGCTTAATAACTTATTTTTAACTATGTATGTAATATAAATTACATGCCATATTTAATCTTATATATTAAAATTAAAAAAAAACATGTAAGCTTACATAAAGATCCAATTTATTTTGTATTTGATTATCTAGAAAACATTTTTCATTTGGTTTCGTAATCAAATAACTAAGTCGAAAGAAAAAGTAAAAATTTGCTCAGTATTTTATATTTGAATTAAATTTTCAAGCAATGAAAGTTTTATAGCACAAAGATTCAGGTATACTTGAACCGCTGTCAATAAACTGATGAATATGTCATACAACGCCAATAAAATATACAATAAGTATACTCAATTCAGGCCTATTCTTATGAAATGATATTATGCAGCTCTATTCATGCGTCATTAAATTGGATTTATACTATTACCTGTTAACATCACATTACCATTTAGTACATTATTTTTGATATTTGAAAATTGTATTTTATTTTCGTATTTTTTTTCTTTCATCAGTGACCTGGTATTTTTTAATATTTTTTTCTAATGCAGATGGCAAACACTTTTAGACACTTAGTCTTGGATGCCTCAAGGCAAGCTCTGCACAAACGTTACTCACTTTGCATTACTCAGGGAGAGCGTGTAACTTGTAGATAAGCCACGGACGCTGAGTAACAATGCCCCCGCAACGCTCTACGATCATATTCGATCGGGACCTCCGGTTTAAAGTGGATTCCGAACCACTACAAACATCCATGGCACCGCCGGGACTCGAACCCGAAACCTGTGGTACCGAGCGCCAGAGCGCTAGCCACTCGGCTATTCAGGCCCGTATTTTTTAATATACATGAATAATTTCTAACATATTGTTGTTGTTGTTGTTTCTTATCCCACTTGGCTGGCCAAGCTCACGAGCCCATACGTACTCATGATTGAAGGGGAAGGAAGCAGCTTCTGTTGTGATGGAGCACCCGTAGGTAGAAGCCTGACTTTTGCTCCGTGACGCTCTTACAGTCATAGGAGACTGGGACCTACAGCTTAAAGTGGATTCCGAACCACTACAAACATCCATGGCACCGCCGGGATTTGAACGCCGAAACCTGTGGCACCGAGCGCCAGAGCGCCATGATTGAAGGAAGGAAGCAGCTTCTGTTGTGATGGAGCACCCGTAGGTAGAAGCCTACAGTCATAGGAGACTGGGACCTACAGCTTAAAGTGGATTCCGAACCACTACAAACATCCATGGCATTCGAGCGCCAGAGGCTAGACACTCGGCCATTCAGGTCCCAAATTTGCCAACGGCACGCGGTGTTCCCAGATGGTCACCCACCCAAGTACTGGTATATTAGTTACTTCGGTAGCGCCCAATGATGCTTCACTTTGGTGATCTAACGAGAACCGGTATATTCAGCATGGTACGGCCGTTGGCTCTAACATATTGAAAGAGAGGATACAACGGATATTGCTTTCTATGTGGACTTTCCGTTTTTACTGTGCAATGAAATGTTGTTATGCAGCTCTATTCATGCATCATTAAATTAGATTTATACTACTAAATGTTAACATCTCATTAACATTATTAGCATATTATTTTTGATATTTCAAAACTGTATTTTATTTACATATTTTTTTTCTCTTTTATCAGTGACCTGCTAGTCTTTAATATTCATGAATAATCTCTAACATCTAGAAGTAGATGACGCAAGGGGATATTGTTTCCTACATGAAGTTTCAGTTTTTACTGCGTAATGTTAACATGTCAAATGCGAGAAAATTCGAAAAGCTCTAACAGAAGCTAGAATTTAATTTATACGTAATGCACTTAAAAAGAATACATCGCAAAATTTAATATTCTCAAAAAGTGCTGATTTTTATTTACAGTGGTAAACAATTATGTATAATTAAATTCTATATAATGTTTTTCTTTGATTCTGGTATAAATATTAATGTCACTTGCGAATGATTAAATTGAGTCTCTCGCATTGCACATTAAAAATTCAAAGTCCATGTAGGAAACACTATCCTGTTGTGTCCTCTCTTTCTATATGTCAGAAATTATTCATAGATATTAAGCAGCATCAGATCACTTATGAAAGAAAAAAAAATGAGTTTTAACTTTCGGAAAATTTTTAAATGTTGTATCATAATTTAAGTTTTTATTAAGTTAGGACACAAATAAAGGATTTTTTTATCAAATAGTGTTTCAGGTGAAACTTTCTCTGAATTTTTAATTATAATTAAAGTTTGGAATTTATATGCATGCAGTTAATTATAATACTGATAAACAATATTATCACATTTATATAGAAACCAAGTGTACTATAATGACATACACTTTGATTTTTAAAAAAAATATTTTTTTAGTTTTTAATCAAATAGCATCGCTTCTTTTTTCTTATAAATCGAACATTACAGATAATGTTACATCTGATTTAAACGCTACATGTGTAATGTTAAATCATAGTAATAAATATTTTAACAAATTAAGCAAATTGGAAAAAAAAGCAAGAAAACTAACAAAATTAAAAGATAATTCAATAAATAAAAGTGTAATTCAAATTTTCAAATCATCATTGAATAATTCCCATTGTTAGCAACAGCTAAGGTATGAAATATTACTTTGTCCTTGTGGTTGCACCATTTAGAAAAGTACATCCTTCAAACTTAAAGTTAATTTTTTGAAAAATATCTCTTCAAGCATTAAAAAACATATATTACATAATCATTCCCAACTGCGTAGAATGATATCCTTGCCTAACTACACGTAAAACATGTCAAAAACACCTTTAAAAATACGTCATCAACAATGATACGAAATAGAAATTGATACTCAGGCTTAAGTATATTTTCTAAATCCCGTTTCTGAATAGTTTTTGCAAGCTTCAATTGTCTTTAAGACTGAAAGCGAGATTTAAAGTCGATATATCATTAGAATTGGAAACTTTTATATAAATCGGGCGAAAGAAAGAATTTCTTCGCACTAGCATACATCGTTTTTAGTTTGATTAACAATAAAATTTTGAAAAAAATGAGAAAACAAAGCATAACTTTTTACAACAATTCCTTTTTTTTTTTTTTTTTTTTTCAAAAATTGCCTAGTTAGGACATTTTTTTTTGAAATGCAGGGAAAAAAACAGGCTGAAGAACATATTGAGCAAATAACAGTTTGTTGTAAGATATCATGTGCATCATGCTCAAACCTTATTGTTTACTTGTGAAAAAATATTGTTCAACAAAATACAATGTTTAATTTGTAATTAACTGAAACATATTTATGATGAAAATGCTTTAGATATAAGGTCATATATTGTTGCTATTGTTTTCGAATAGCTTGTACATTGACGTAAGGTGATTTTCCTCTAGAATGGTCGAGATATAAGAGATTCAGCTTTGCACGAATCACAATACAAGGGGCCTGCTGCATTTTACCAATATTCGGACAATACAATAAACGTACACAATCAAGCATGTTCTTTTGGCGTTCGCCTTTTACCTGGAGCCACCGAATCGTACTTACAGGTTTACCATACCAATTCACAACCAACATAGAAACGGAAAATTACAGTTCAGTGTTGTAAAAACAGAACACACACCTTTGGCTTAGAAATCCAATGTGCAATGCAAAAAAACATTCTAAATTCCAAAATCTTCAATATATTTTTATGGCAAAGTACGAGAACAGTGGGATTTGTCTGGACGCATTTTCTGAATCTCTACAAAAAATATCTGCGCATCTGTCTTAATGGATGCATTCCGTGCTGAAATTAGGGGGATCTGATGGCCGAGTGGCTAGCGCTCTGGCACTCGGTATCACAGATATCGGGTTAGAATCCCGGTTGTGCCATGGTTGTTTGTAGTGGTTCGGAATCCACTTTAAGCCATAGGTCCCGGTATCATATGACCGTAGAGCGGACCACGGAGCCCAATCAGACTTCTCCTCACCCACATCATTCCCAAACTGTAAAAGGGCAGCTCAGCTCTAGGCACAGTGATGTGGTGTGGTGTAGTAGTAGTGCTGAAATTATGGGATCTATTTCAGTAATTAAAATAGAATAGAGCGTTTAACATTTTCATTGAGAGAATAAAATGGACTTAATTTCTTTTGCAATTTATCTCCTCATTGTAGAGCGGCTCATTGATGGCCAATTGGCTAACTCTCTGACCTTTGGTGCCAGACGCTTTTAGATCCGAATCCTGGCGGGGGCATGGGTGTTTGTGAGAGCTTCGGGATCCACATTAGGCTGTAGATAACGGTCTAATTAGCTAAAGTGTGCACAAAATGACCGTAGAGCGACAAACCAAAACCAAACCTCGTTTGTAGAAAATATTTTACATCTGTTAAATCAGCTCCCCTATATACCATTACTTTTTAGGAAGAAGTATGAAAATGAGGGTGTAAAGATGGTTGATATCTTTTTTTAAATCTATAGTTTTTAAAAACTGCTGTTACAGTGCCAAAACTAACTGCGCTAATTTTCACGGAAATAATTAATTACTTTTACATTAATTACTTTTCAGTTAAATGTTTTAAATTTTGTATGCCTTATTTTTTCACATAAAAATAAATTATGAGGTATATCCATAATGTTTGGTAATACTTACTTTACATACAGAATTTTCTATCGCCTCTTGCTGGAAATATAAATTTGAACTCATTATATTATGAATATTAGTATTAAATATTAGACGTTAACTAAATTATTTCAGATTTCTCCTAAAGATATTAAAAAATAACCTGAAATAATTGATGACAAATTACGTATGTTACTGTAGATTAAAGAATTAGGAACTTATGAAACCATATAAGTGAATATTACTCTGATATAAATAAATGAATAATTTTTAAATCATTTGATGTACACAAATAATTCATACTGGAAATACTATGGCTAAAAGCGTTTCATCTTTTAAATAAAACATTAAATTAAATATTGAAGTCTTACAATTTTATTCTAAATGGAACATAGTTTATTCTTTTGTTTCTAAAATGAGATCAAAACGATCCTTTAAAGGAAAAAACGAAAATAAACTCCATATTTTTATGAAACTTGATTTATTTTATTAATTTCAAGAAAATGTTGTTTTTTTTAAGCTTTTGCTATAAATAATTTCACTTCACTATCCAGAATGAAAACATTTTTTTTTTCTCGATTGTACGCGTTTTGACTGCAGACACCAATGACATAAAAAAATGAGTTTCATTTATTTGACGAAAATGAAAGACTTCAAAATTTAACTCATTGATTTTTTCACCCGGTTAAAAACGAAGATAAAAAAGATCCAGTTCAAAATATTTAGTATCAGTTTGACTTAAAGATATATACTTCAAAAGAATTTGAGTTGAATGAAATGAAAATACATAGCGATATGTTCGTCATGCTATACGATGTATTCAAATATATATCTATATATTAAGACCATTTTAAAAGAAATTACTCTAACAGTTATTTTAATAAAAATCACTTTTCGTATTTAATAGAATGTTTGCTCCTAAATAAATACACTTTTTAATGGAGGAAATATTTAGTTGACATATTATATTAAAATCTTTAAAATTTTGTTAATAAGAAAATGTTATACGATTCTGTCTAGTTCTGATATAAATAATATTATATTTAATGTAGATTAGAATAAATACAAGTTTCTCATCATAATAAGACTTCAAATTAATATATATCTTTTAAATCTGCATACTCTTATATCTCAGAATTTATTTGATAATAGCAATTTTTGAAAATAGTGTAACGTATAATAACAATAATATATATGCATTAAACCTATATGTATTTAATAAGAACAACATATATGCCTTTAATAAGAATAACATCTATACAATAAACATATATACATTGTTAACTATTTCTTAATGTAAATGGCGATAGATGGCGCCACCAGCACAAAAATGTAATGAGGTGTGACCGCTACGGGGACTCATTGGTAAGAACAAGGAGGGATGTAGCAACGAAGATTGGTGCTGGCGAGCGATGGCTCTAAAACGTATATAAAATGTTATTAAATATATGTATTCAATTTTAAATCACTGAGAGTCGTTTTATTTAATGAAAAGGAAGAAAACGCTAACAACATTTAATAACAATAACATATAGGTATTTAATAAAAATGAAGATAATATAATATATTTATATATGCTAATTAAAATACGTCAATTAAAATAAATTTAAAACACTTTTATATTGTTATGTTAATAAATTTTTCCTAGTTATATTAAAATACCTTTTATTTAGTCCGCGATACTTAAATATGTATATTTTGCATAAGGAAATTAACAAAAATTATTTTGTAAATAATTTATCTCATGGATATAATTCAGTAAATTTTAATTAGGAAAAACACTGCATCATAATAAATATTCCAAGAAAATCTATTAGAAATTTTGACTTCATATATGACTCATATTGGCAATA